GCAGTTGATGTCTACCAGAAACTTGGTAAAGGAGACTTCAGCTCTCTCTGACTTCCTCATTAAACTTATGCTTGAGAGTCACCTGCTGTGGATCATGTATCTTGTGGACTGAAGGATGACCTATTTCCTAGCCTGGATCCCAACAAGCCTACTTATCTCCCTTCTATGCCATATACTTGTCAATAGGGCCATAAGGTGGAATTTCATACTGGAGTCCAACACACACCTCCTTTCTCCTCAGCTGCCACTGGGGTCCTGGCTGCATGAACTTCAGACTCTGATTATTCTCTGTGCTGGTGCACTTGGGCTGACCTAGCCTTTTTCACTTTCTGATAACAGCATGGGTATGATGTTTGCTATTTTTTTGTCTCCCTCAGAAAGCTCTAGTCTTATGAATTTGGTGCAGGACTGAGGTCTGGACACTCAGCGTGGATGAGGCTCTATTTACCATGTGTACGATGTAAATATACCTGCCAGGTCATGCTAGCTCCTTAGTTTGCATTGAAAAATGGGGAAAGGTTTCTTACACTATTCAGAAGAAATACGAGCAACTGCTTTTTCCTCCTTGCATAACTTTTAGTATTTTATTCCCTCACACTTTTCTACTAGACCAGAACCATGGCTGGATTCTTATCTCCTCCAAATGACCCGCATTAGCTCTTTTGGGATGACAGGTTCCAATGATATTTAGCTGCACAGTGAAAGCACGTTGTTTCTGTTTCTCCAGTTGCTTAAAAAAAAGAAAAGATGTGAACCTGGATTTCTTAGCCCAGGGAGTGATGGAGGCCGGGCCTCTGAGGCATCCACTCTGCGTAGGAAGCTAAGAACTCCCCGCTGACTCTTTCAAACTTAAGTTGTGGCAAAGCGCTTCTTCCCGGGATCTCCGAGGGAGCATACTGGCGATGCTGCCCCATGTCTTAACTGCACTCAGTGACATTGGGGTGAACTTTTCTGATAGATTTTTGTGTGCTTTGCCGACCTACTGAGGGAAGCCCTTGGCCATAGCTTGCTGCTCTATGGCCACTGTCACTGTTGCAGGTGAAGTGCTTGAGGGACAGTTCCGCACGAGTGTGTTCTGCTGGGGCAGACACTGTGGGAAGATCCCATCTCTAGCCAGTGTTTTGAGAAGGAAGAGACTGAGCTAGTTAGAGGTTCCTTTAAATTCGCGTGCGAGCGCGCGCGCGCGCGCGCGCGCGTGCGTGTGTGTGTGTGTGTGTGTGTGTGTGTGTGTAGAAAATGGAGGGAGTAAGAAGTAAAGGGTATAAAGAAAAACGTTTCATATAAAAGCTGTATTGACTGTATTCCAAGTGCCATTCATGTTAAGAGATGTATATGCAATAACCTCATTGAATCCCAAGTCACAGAAACTGTATCCCATTAAACACACAGCTATTATATGGCTTATCATTGGTCTCCACAGTTGACAAGAGGCAGTGGTAAGATTCAAAGCTCACGTTTGTAACCACATAACCTTGTAGGAAAAGCTGGTCACTTAGCCACCCAGGCCGTGGTCAACCCCTACTAAGCACATAAGTGTCTAAAGTGGGAAGAGGTTTGGGGGTAAATTATCTAACTCTTTCATTAGGCACATGAGAAAAGATAGGGGAGGTGGTGGTAGTTGGTAAAGTGAAAAAAATTTAAGTTTTTATTAGAGTTGAACTGAGACTAAGGCTGAACTTGCTGACTGCAGAGCTGTTAAATGTGTCCTTCTTTTGGGGACAGTGCTCCTCTCTGCTGACCCTGGGCTAGGCCTCTACTGTAGAAAAATAGTCCCTGGATTGCTTCAGCTAGCCCACAGCTGGGAGATGGGCTTTGTGCCCACCTCTAAGATAACGGGAAATTAAAAACTAGAACTGGGGACTTAGCCTTTGTTACCAGGTGACAATACATTACTAACCCATCACATTAGTGCACTCTCAGGGAACTCCTCTTTGTAAAGTCATCAATGGTTTCATCACTGCTGGAGCCAAAGAATCTAGCTTTAAAAAATTAATGGTCCTTGATATTATTTGCTACTGTCTTTTTCATAAAATTTCTCCTCTGGAGACATTACTGTCTCCTCATTTTATTTAGAGAACTCTTTGTATCTTTTCTTTATTCTAGCAAGGTTTTTATTCTTCCTGTCCCTTACATTTCAGTGCGGTGGGGAAAGCAGACTTCACCTCCATCTCTCTTCTCTTCTAATAAATTATTCTTAGATCGTGATCTTCAAATGAACCAGCTTATCTTCACAGTAAATATTACAGTTAGCTTTCATTTTACAACCGTACCAGGTCTCTAGTGTTCTTCTTGGCATCTCTAGTGAGGGGGAAGAAAGGGATAAAGCTAGCTCTGGACTTCTCCATCCAGGAGAAAGCTCAGAAAGTTGAGCCAAGTAGAGTCCTGTTATGATGAAACTCAAGCAGATGATACCCAGCATTCTGGGGATGGGTAGAATTTAGGAAGAAGTTTGGATCAGGTCATCAGGGCATGACATACTGATGAAGAAAAATGTGCTCACTGTCTTCAGTGGGATTCAATAGCTTCTTTATTTAGCTAACCCAAAGGAAAATATATAATTTGTGACATACCGCTCGAGGGAAAGACTGGAATGTGCTGGGTTCCCAGTGAGTTTGGGGGCTTTTAAAAACTGGAGCATATTCACTGTGCATAGCCATAGGTTCCGTGAAGTCTATCATGCACCCTGACTATGCTCACTCTGCTTTCTCTTTCCTCTCTCACGCTCCATCCTACTATTTCTACTCATTTCTTTAGACAGACTTAGGTTTTGTTTTCATGTCAGATCTATAAAAATGATTTTTTTCTACAAAATATAGGCTCTGTAAATGACAGAAAACATGGTATTTGTCTATCTGTGTCTGATGTATTTTTCTTAATATGACCATCTTCATTGTATCCATTTCTTGTAACTGACACAATTTTGTTATTTCTTATGGGTTAAAAAATCTCTGGAATGTATGAATGCAACATTCTCTGTCCACCTGCTGATGGATACTGCTGGATCTGTAACTTGCCTATAATAGAGAGTGAGACAATGCACATAGGTAATTCATGGAATGTTGACCCAGAGTCCTCCAGGCGGATATGGGAAGTGACATAACTGCTCTTTTAAAACATCACTTCTTCCGTGGTCTCTGACTGAGGCAGCTTGTTCACACAGCACTCTCATTTTCAATGCTCATTTTCGATCACCCTCGTCCTGTAGTCTGAAAGGAGTGCGTAGCTAATTTTATCTTTTTTAAAAAATGGATTTCTAATATTTTTCATGTATCAGAACACAATCGTGGAAGAGTTTTACGGGCTCTGGCCTATCTTAACATCAACTAACCCTCCATGAGTTTCTTCTACCGGGAGATAGGTGTGATGAACTGACCAGCAGCTGGGTCATACCTATGTTTTTTTAGATGCATGATTGCCACAGGTGAAAGAATTGAACAACGGAATCCAGAGAGGGAGTCTAATCTGGTTCATATCTGCCAAGCTCTTCAAACTCAGTTTCTTTTTATACAGTTAAAGGAATATTGCTAATTTCCTAAAGTATGAGTGGTATTAGATGAAAATATCAAAAATCCGACTAGCCATGTGAAGAGTTATCACCTTGAAGTCAGTTTAGGTTAACCTGGAGTATGTTAAAAGCAGAAATCCTGGCTCAGAGATATTGTGAAAGACTGAAAGACTGAGGGTCAGAGGTGGTGAATGACATCAGTGAAACAGCATTTTACAGCTATGCCAGGGCCGCTGGACACATGAACTCATGGTAGCTGTGACTACAGGAACAAGACCTGTGCAGGATACGGCCAGAACTCCCAGCACGAATAAAAGAGTGGCCAGCAAGTCCTTTCCCTAGCTAACAAGCTATTGCTAATTGTTGGCTGCTGTGAGGAGAGTCAGTTTCTCCAGGGATGTGGCCCCAGATAGGTCTCCCAGCTGCAGCAGATGGCCCTACATCCATGGCAGCACTAAGTGGACTCACTATGTTTAAAAAAGAACATGTGGGTTTGGGAAAGAAAAAGAGATGGGAAAATATGAGAGAAATTGGAGGAGAGGAGATGAAGGTGGAATGGTCAGAAACACATTGTATTCATGTATGAAATTCTCAGTTTTCAAAAGCAAAACTGTTGTTGAAGAGGATTAGGCTGGGTGGCTGGGTCCTGTCTTCTTATAGCTTGCTCTCTCTCTCTCTGTCTCTCTCTCTTTCTCTCTCTCTGCTGTATTAAACATCAACCTCTTTTTCATGAAGAGGGTCACTATTTTCTGCCTAGATCCCTGGGCAGAGAAAAGAATGAATTCCTGTTTATCTTTTAAGGCAAATTTAAGCTTGGCTCTTTCTCTTTTCTTTTCTTTTTTTTTTAATTTATTTATTTATTAAGGATTTCTGCCTCGTCCCCACAACCGCTTCCCATTTCCCTCCCCCTCCCCTGATCAAGTCCCCCCCCCATCTGCTCGAAGAGCAATCAGGGTTCCCTGACCTGTGGGAAGCCCAAGGACTGCCCACCTCTATCCAGGTCTCGTAAGGTGAGCATTCAAACTGCCTAGGCTCCCACAAAGCCAGTACGTGCAGTAGGATCAAAAACCCACTGCAATTGTTCTTGAATTCTTGCTTTAATTCTCTTTATCATTTTAAGCAAAGTTGAGCTTATAGAATCCATCTATCTCCCTTCTCTTTCCTTCCTTCCTTCCTTCCCTCCCATGCTTAAGTTCTATTAAACATAAAATCATACAGTTTTGAAATCATAAGCCTAAAGTTTCAGAAACTAGAGAAGCCCTGCAAAATTTCCCTGCCTACTCTCTGATGTTTTTAGCTGAGGACATTATGGTTGGGGAATGGGACATGGAACCAGATCTGGGCATCCAGTTTCTATCTCATCCTTCTGTCTGTCTTAGAGAAGAAATGGGAGAAGGACCTCTATTCCTCCACAGGCTGTGTGTTTGTCTTTTCCTTGTGAAGGTTCCTAAAACCAACAGAGAGGTAAATCGTGATTATCTTTCAATCCACTCACCAACAAACAGCTGGCTGTAGAGTTCCAGGCGGGTGTGACCTTCCGTCGGGGCCTTTCGGATCTGCTGGGGCAGGCGATCCACCTGGAGACTGGCCTGCTTGACATTCCTCTCTGCAGTGACCCGATGCCACTGGTCATCATTGAGAGGGGAAGGTGACCTCACCACAATCTCCACTGGCCCGTTTCCAACATCAAATGAAAAGGACACTTCTGTGGCAGCTGGAGGAGCAGAAAGTATAAAAGATACATGAGCATATTTCTCCCAGATACCAAATAACAGCAGATTGTAGAGGAATGTTACACAGGTCAGTGGCAAAACCACTGGAGGAAAGATAAATATGAATTCATTATTTTCACTAACCAAGAGGAAGGAAATAAATTGCTCTTGCAGGGGCAGTGGTTCTATGTGCCGGGCATGCATTTATTTAATTTCCTTATTTACGACTTAGAAGATTTCTAAGAAGTTACCATCATCAACTCTTTCCAGATGAGAACACTGAAGCCCAGTGAAACTTGCAGTTCGGTATACTCATTGACGAAGGTGCAAGAACTCCCTAATTATTGGACTTAACTTCTGCTCAACCATGGAAAACCATGACTGGTACTGGAAGTTCAGCAAAGTACCCAGGGTTAGTGAAGTCTCAGAGCTTGAGGAGAGCCTCAAGATGTTACTGTGGAGCTAAAATTGCTGCCTTACTAGCTCAGCACAAATGCTAACTGCATTCTAACTGTGTACCCTTCCACCTACAGACAAGTAGAGTTCTCATCATAGAAGCTTCTCTTTGTGGCAGATGGGGACATTGCAGAAAACCAGAAGTTGTTCAAAATGCAGGGAGTAGCAAGAGGTGGGGTGTCCAGCCCCACTTGATATGTCCACTACACAACTCCTGCACCTAAGGTTCAGGGAGCATTGAAGAAGAGGGCAGAAACATTACAGGAGTCAGAGGACCCAGAGGCCCGTTTTAAGAGTGTGCCTCCTAGCAATGGCAGGGAAGCTATGCCTATGATAAGTCAATAATACGGCTGCTTAATTAGAACCTGAACAATCACAACACCAATAAATGCCTCATGGGGCCCCGCCTCTAGACAAAGAACTACAGTCAAATAGGGTATGTTGAGAGTGGTGGAAACAATCTTCCCCAGGGATGAGGCTTCGAATTGGTATCCAATACCAAGTGGCCAGCCCTGAAGTCATGTACAGACAAGCAACACTAATCAGACCCACCAGAAGGTATGTGAGTGGATATATGTACATCCCTTCTCCCTCAATAAAAGTTATAGAAAAAGAGGCCAGGTATTTAAGAGGGATTTTGCTTTGTGTGTGATTGGGAGGGGTAGGAAGAAAGAAAGGGAAGGGGGATATGATATAATTATATTCTGTATGGGTGCTTTAGAAACTCCAGTACCTGGCCTAGACACTGGTATTTCCAAAGGCTCCCTGGGAAACATCACTGTGGAGCTAAAATTGAGAGCTATTGCTTTAAGAGAACTTACAAAATTATTTCATTAATCTTCATAGTCCTTATTGAACATTAGGGTTATGAGTTTTATTCAGACAATGTGGTGACCAGCATATTTCATTTGGACCACTAGTGGCTGTCTCAAAGGCTGCATAGCACTCTGGTAGCACAATGCCCCTCAGCCTCAGCAGGATGCTGCAAACTGGATCCTGCTTACCACCTCCCTGGCAGCACTGGCCACAAATCATTCTTGTTTGCAGAGATTTCCCCTGTCAACCCTGTTTTGCAACAAATCACCTTTCGACAATAGGTGAATGGGTTTGATGGTTGCTTTGTCAAATTTCGTTCTAAGTAGCTTTTTTTTATTTCAAATTTTAAGCTTTGTATGAGCTCCCTCAGTGGCCACCCAGGGCTTTATAAATACGTTTTGGATGTATATTTTTTTTCTCAGGACTGACAGGGGAGGAAGCTTTTCGCTGAAGCAGCACACATATCTCGCATTCCCGTAGGTTTGGAGAATTCTTTTTAGCATTAAAGATGTGGTATACCAGTGAGTTTCCCCGGCTTTGCATGCAGAGATATCCGTCCCTCTATCCATCAAGAAGGCTTCTGCCTAATCTCTAAGCCGGTTAATTAAATATCTGTCATTTTTTTCCAGGGCTAATGGAAAATTCAGTTTCTTTGGGACAGTGTCACAAGCAATCAAACTTCTAATTTAAAAACCACAGTGGGCCAGATTCTCTCAGGGGCTCCCGTGTACCCTGCCTCTGTGTCGGGGTCCCTGGAAAGCGGTAGTAACTTTACTGATCTACAGGGATATTAGTTACAGAGCTCAATTTAATCAGTCTTATTGTACCGAGGAATTTTGGTCCTTCATGCCATTAGAAAGAGAACCTTCATTATAACACCTGCAGTGATTCCATGCATAGTCCAGTAAAAACGTCTCGTTCAAATTAGAAGCCCCTGCCTCCAGGATCATTGTGAGAGACATAACATGCAGGCAAGTGACCCCATCTCAGTTGCCATGGTAGTAGGATGGAAATGCAGGTAGACCATCACGTGGCTGCAGCCTCCCAGATCCTTCTTGGTGGGGCAGGTACAGTAGATGGGGGAAAGTAGCCCAGGCTTCAGCTGAAATCTGTGCTTCTGTGGTGCACATGAGCAGCTGCCTTCCTAAATGTGGGTCGCCAGGACAGCAGGAGGATGAGGGCTCCTGGGTTAAGTGGGAAAGACTGTTTAGCTTTAAAGGAATCAACTGCCATCAGGGAAATAGAATTTAGTGATAAATTGAGTTTAACACTCAGGTTCAACTTGAAGGGATAAACGCTGCTCTAATTTCCTCAGCTTCTACCCCTTTGCTATGACAAATTCTTGCTGGGTCTTAAACTGTCACCATTTGGAGAAATCTTGAGCACCAGCAGATTCTGGGCAATGTCCTTCCTCTTCACTCCTTTTGTCATGATAGGTCCCTGCCTATTCTCTTGATTCCATCCTCTTTTGTTTTTGAACTAGTCTTATTTATTCTTTGAGAATTGCATACCTGCACACAATGATTTTTTGATTGTACCCTGTCAACCGCTTCATGTCTTTAAATATATATATATATATATATATATATATATATATATATATATATATTCCACCAACTGGAGCATGGTCAACTTACCAGGACCATACCCCTAAAGCTAACTGACTCTCCCTCCCAAGGCAGCCATCAACTACCAATGCCTCCTAGGCTAGGGGCAGGGACTTAGATAGTTGGGGTTATTCCCTAACCATGCTCGGAAGTTGACTGGTTTGAGCTTGTGCAGGTTTTACACATGAAAACACAGCAGCTATGAGCCTATGAAAGCAATGGTCCCGTCAAGTCCAGGAGACACTCTCTCTCCAGTCCTCGCCAACCGCTGACCCTCACAACCTTCCCACTCCCTCTTGTGTGATGTGCTCTAAGTCTTGAGGGGAGACGCTGTGTTACAGATACCCATTTATGGATGAGCACACATGGTCGCTTTTGCTCTCTATTTGACCAGCTGAGAGTGTCTGAGTTAACTGCTATCCACTATAGAAAGGAGCTTCTCTGAAGAGGTCTGAGAGCTGTGCTCATCTGTGACCCCTGCACTCATCCGTAACCCAGAGCTCATGCATGACCCCTGTGCTCATCCATAACTTCTGTGCCCATCCATGTACCTTGTGTTCATCTATGCACCCTGTGTTCATGCATGACCCCTGCACTCATGCATGATCCCTGTGCTCTTCCATGACTCCTGTGCTCTTCCATGACCCCTGAACTCATGCATGATCCCTGTGCTCTTCCATGACCCCTGCACTCATGCATGATCCCTGTGCTCTTCCATGACCCCTGCACTCATGCATGATCCCTGTGCTCTTCCATGACCCCTGTGCTCTTCCATAACCCCTGTGCTCTTCCATGACCCCTGTGCTCTTCCATGACCCTTGTGCTCTTCCATGACCCTTGTGCTCTTCCATGACCCCTGTGCTCTTCCATGACCCCTGTGCTCTTCCATGACCCCTGTGCTCTTCCATGACCCTTGTGCTCTTCCATGACCCCTGTGCTCTTCCATGACCCCTGTGCTCTTCCATGACCCCTGTGCTCTTCCATGACCCTTGTGCTCTTCCATGACCCTTGTGCTCTTCCATGACCCCTGTGCTCTTCCATGACCCTTGTGCTCTTCCATGACCCCTGTGCTCTTCCATGACCCCTGTGCTCTTCCATGACCCCTGTGCTCTTCCATGACCCCTGTGCTCTTAACAGCAAACCTTTGATCTAGAGAAGGAAGAAAGTTTTCCAGGACCTGGCTATTGCTGCTCACTCCCATGAGGGTGCGGCAAGAGGGACTCAAGTCCAGGAGTGTCACTAATCGTGCAGTTCCAGGACCTTCTCTTCCAGCTCGGCTGCAGAAGATGAAAGTGAAGGGAAGGGCTTTTCCCTCTCAGTCACTCAATGTCAGCTGTCCTGACACCAAGAAAGGGACTCCTTTGAGAAATCCCTTCTCTTAGACAGCCAGCCAGTCTGTTTTAAAAGCTTCGAGCATTCAGTTTGTGGCTGATTGCCCTTGGCCTTCTGGGTGAGAGCAACTGACATTTCCAGAAAGATAATTACAGAGAGAGTCAGTGAGCGAATAAAGAGAGGCAGCAGAGAAGACACCGGAGCCAGTGACACTGCTCAGTTAATGTGTGTCTTCACTTGGAGGCTGAAGTGCTGTCCTGTCTGTCTCCATCTGTAGGAAAGGATTTCTTATATAATAAAGATTTGAGGATTGGGTCACATATAGCATGACTCACTGGAAAGAATGCGAACAGCAAACGTGAATGATTGCCTTGCCAGGAGTGTTGAAGACTGGTTAGGTTTTTTTTTGTTTTGTTTTTGATTTCCTTCTCTTAAAACGAATAAGTTGCTTGGCACAGTTTCATGAAGCAGGCAGGGGCTCCTGGGTCAGAGACAATGGATTTGTGGTAATAGTACAGCAGGCAAAATGAGCTTCAGGCTCATCCTGCTTTCTCATGCTCCTACCCCAAAGTCCCAGGGTCAGCCAGGTGGGTGCTGCACAAGAAGTGAGTTGCCTGCTGCACAGTGGAGGACTCTGCACTAAGAAAACCTGGGTCTTTCAAGGCGCTGTTAGCAAACCTGCCTCATTTTGGGCCTTGGAGAGACACTGGTAAAAATTATTATCCTGGTCATGAGACAAATCTAGCGTCTGCCTTGGGGGGAAGGCACCTTCTCTGTCTTCTACCTTTCTC